GTATAATTGCTTTTTCCCTCACCACACTCTCCTCACTTCCCCTAAACCTCCCCTCACTTGCCTCACTCTTCTAATATCCTGTCTTTATTAGATTTCATCGCCTCCTTACAAATTATCTCACCTCCTTTCCCCTTCACCCATTCCCTCACTTCCTTCCCCTCATTAAAATACCACAATGCCCTTTCACTGCTGAGCTGCAACAAATGTATTAAGGAACACAGAACAGAAGAATTAAGGGACTGATGAGAGGGGGAGGATAAGCTCCATGAGGCAAAGCGAAGGGAAACGAGTGTGAGAGTAAGAGAGTGTGAGAGTGAGTTGTGAGGTGAGAGGGACAGGACGAGTGTGAGAGTGAGGGGGAATCGGATAAGTATGAGAGTGTGGCGAGGGAATACACCTTGGAAAATAAGTTATGTGAGAAAAGAGGTGATTTTTGCAATTTGTTGGGGCTGGGAGCAGCATTTTGGAATGTTTTTGGGGGCTGGGAGGAGAATTTTAGAATGTTTTGGGGCTGGGAGGAGCATTTAGGAATGTTTTTTGGGGCTGTTAGGGGCATTTAGGAATGTTTTTGGGGGCTGGGAGGGGCATTTTGGAATGTTTTGGGGGTCTGGGAGGAGCATTTTGGAATGTTTTTGGGTGGCTAGGAGGAGCATTTTGGAATGTTTTGGGGACAGGGAGGAACATTTTGGAATGAACCAAAGGATATGAAGGAAATAAGCTAGGATATGGGGACGAAGTAAATGATCGGTGCCCAACCACTTCCACCATCAGGACACGAGCGAAGACCTTGCAAGTAGCGAGGATGCTGCTCTTCTGACCATGTAATCACACAAATGAACCACTGCAGACCTACGACAACGAGACGACCTCTCCTTTGGGACTGGACGGAGAGTGGGAAGACGCCCCTTCATAGAATGGGATGGAAAAGTGAAGATAAATAGTTTCCTTTGCATGGGGAGGTAAAAGATAGCAAGGAAGAGGATATCTCTACATCCTCATTACTACCTTCAACTAAGCTTTTGGCTCTTTTAACTAATATGGTCTCATGATAACAATTTAACAATTTGCAGACGAAGCCTGTCCAGGAACATTGCACAAAAATTCATACACAATCGACTTTATCTCCACTCAGTGAAAAATAACTCTGTGCCCCCATTACAAGTTACTTAAATACAATAAGAAAGATTAAAAAGGTGGGACTATACTTAGCCTGTTGTCGGATTTGAGAACCACTGAACATGTTTCCAAGTGTTGATCACTATCCCAGTAAACAATGCAGTCAGATCTCCTCCCTTGTACACTGCTTGCTAAGCCTCTATATACCCAACGCTCGGCAGTATTGCCTAATTTTCGAGTGTTGGCAATGGTGGGGGAAGTCTCTGGTGAGTTAATTTCTGACGGTTGGTACCGTGGGGTGGTACTGGGGATTGGTACCGGGGTTGGTACTGGGGGGTTGAGAGTAGGGGGTTTATTGAAAGTGAGCCGGAGGGCCGCTACTGCCTACAATGGGAACCTCTCACTCATCACACATTTTAATCAGACACAATCAGTAGCTCATTAGAAGTGGTGCTCGGCGATGTCCGAGTCTGTCTGTCTGTCTGTCTGTCTGTCTGTCTGTCTGTCTGTCTGTCTGTCTGTCTGTCTGTCTGTCTGTCTGTCTGTCTGTCTCTCTCTCTCTCTCTCTCTCTCTCTCTCTCTCTCTCTCTCTCTCTCTCTCTCTCTCTCTCTCTCTCTCTCTCTCTCTCTCTCTCTCTCTCTCTCTCTCTCTCTCTCTCTCTCTCTCTCTCTCTCTCTCTCTCTCTCTCTCTCTCTCTCTCTCTCTCTGTCTCTCTCTCTCTCTCTCTCTCTCTGCTGGTGAGTTTAAGCAGCGCTCAAGGTGGAGGGAGGTGTGGATTGGCAAGGAAGCGGGTATTCCTTATCCTGTTACTATCCACGCCACCACGACTGCTTGTGTATTTTAGCTAATTATAGGGAAATTGTGATAGAATTTGTCTTTTTTTTAATTTGCAGACATAAGTGCATAACATTGTATATTATTATGTCTTATAGTATACAGAGAAAATAAACTTCAGTCTGGTGATAACGATAATTTAATAATCGGTGTGTGGGGGTTCCAATTGACATCATAACAAATGGCACTCGTCTCACTTATGCCAATCCAGCCTTCACCATGTTGACCACGTACTGCACAAAATTCAGGGTGCAACGTTAAATTAGCTTGCCCCAAGCACCTGGCCTTCAACATTGAACAGACAGACAGGCAGACACTCTTATTTATTGATATAAATATATTGTTTAAACCAGAACTAATAGGGATTCTATTAAATGACAAGAATCCATGACATACAGATCCAAATCCATTACACAGTGACTGTTTTTCCCACACATACTCGACTACTCAATCTATCTACTGATAACCCAGGAGACCTATTTTGAAGCAGTGTATCGAGTTCCAAGAGTGCATTTTTTTGTTTGCATTTTTTGTGAATTTTTGTGAATTTAATAACAAATAAAGCAAGTTACTGGAGGCATATTTAGAGGCAAGTGTAATAATTTCTGGAGAGGAGGAAATATTTAGAGGCAATTACAGGAAATTCAAGTACATTTAGAGGCAATTACAGGAAATTCAAGTACATTTAGAGGCAATTACAGGAAATTCAAGTACATTTAGAGGCAATTACAGCAAGTTCAATAAAGACATGTAGAGACAATCTACACAAGTTCCAGGAGGAAAATTTAGAGGAAAAAGAAGTCAATTTCAGGAAGCACATTTAGAAGCAGTCAAAATACGTTTTAAGAAGCAGATATTGACACAGACTAGCAAGTCTCCGGAGACCAGTGGAAGCTGGAGAAAAGATGCAGGAACGAAGAATAATGAACTTGAAAACAGTGCAGATGATGAGTCACAATAACGTGGCTGAAAGATGTTGACCAGAACACACACTAGAAAATGAAGGGACGACGACGTTTCGGTCTGTCCTGGACCATTCTCAAGTCGATTGTGGACGGACCGAAACGTCGTCGTCCCTTCATTTTCTAGTGCGTGGTCTGGTCAACAACTTGAAAACAGTGCATGGAGATGACAGAAAAATTAAATACAAAAATTAAATCAGTCCAGGAAAATAGATTTTAGGAAGAAGTAACTTATCAGCAAAGTGATAACACATAGATTAAAAGCTGTTATATTTTAATGAACACACTTAAGTCCTCAAGAGGGCTCAGGCACCCCCACAGGCCCTACAGGTGTGAGGGTGCTTATGCAATATATATTAAATTGTTGCAGATAATGAGGGTCCAACTAAACCATTTATCCCTCTATTGTGTACCTGTTCATTGCAATTAGCGACATACCATTTGCATCTGCTTTCATTAATGATCACAGTCATGAATCAACTTTGGTTTCGCTTTCACTGCAGTTGCCTACATTGGGTCCCCAAAACTAAACATTAATTTTTTGATGATTCTAATATTTTTCCCCTTCATAACTATTTTCTTTATTTTTTATTTTACCTTACTTTATTAAAATACTATAAATCCCGATTTTTACCCGACGTTAATATACTAAATAGGATTACTGCACGATTTTATTGGAAAATTGAATTAGTTACACACACGTGAAAAATAAAGCAGATGGAAGGAAAAAGAACTGAGCCTTTCTTCATCTCACTTTAAGCCCCGACCCGGCCATTTAATCCCCAGGACACGATCCGCCAATTGATTTACTGTAAATCCAGGTGTGCAATCAATGTCGGGTACACGGAGCGGGAGTGAAGCAGAGGAATTTCACTCAAAAAAGTTTCACTCCACTTTACAAAGGTTTCAAATCCAGGCGCTTTCGCATGCAAGGACAGCGTGATTGGCACTGAAACTGAGAGCAACTTTATATTTATTTATTTATTACAAATTAATTAATATTTCTCACACCTGGTAATACTTGTGCACTGATTGGAATAAGACACCTGGTGACGAGAGATTTGCTTGTGTGGTTTTGGCATCTTAAAAGGAGGAAGAGAGCATCATTGCAATCAATCTTCAATTGCTTGCGAACCAATGGGGGCTGTATATTCAAGTACTGTATATACAAGTAATTCCCTACAGGACCGGATCAGGTAACCTAACCATCCTCAGGCCTATTTATTCACAAAATTACAATATATAAAATATTGATATCTAAGAAAATGACGTTTTTAATTATTCAAGTACTGTATATACAAGTAATTCCCTACAGGACCGGATCAGGTGACCTAACCATCCTCAGGCCTATTTATTCCCAAAATTACAATATATAAAATATTGATATCTAAGAAAATGACGTTTTTAATTATTCAGTGCTATTTACAAATGTTAATTTAAGGACAGCCACAAATTTGACGAGCATAACAAAACTATCGAATACACGTTAGTCTTCAACAGTATGGTAAATGGAGATTTGTATCTGCATTCTCTCTGAAATTATTTTTTTCTCTGATTTTTTCCCTCGTGAATATGTTTCACTCACTAGCTTTTCCTTTCATTTTTGTCTTACTTAGGGTCCTTATCATCTTGCCCCGTGGAAGAGAACCTTGTTGTCACGATGTCATGGTTCCAATACTCCTCTCCGTATCATGCCTTCATCACTAAGGCCACGAAAGCTCATGTCCTTACACACAGAAATCACAATATCGCGATGCATCAATGAACAATTGATGAAGTAAGGGCGAAGAAGTAGAACGGCCTATTGACATAGTTCGAGTGCATGGGGGAGTTGTGTAAAACCCTGGTTTGTGTCTCGGAGAGGCTGCAGGATCCAAGTAAACTCAGTAGAACTTCTGATTTCAACTCTTTTTGACCATGACGTAGCTAAGTCGATTAAGACAGCGTTTGGGATGATCTCGGACGTAGGTTCGAATCCTCGTCACGGCTGGAATTGCTCATGTCCTCCTTCTACGATTCACAAAACTCACGTTCTCTCATCTTACAAGACACTAAGCTCGCGTCATTTTCTACCCCTGGCGACACAGGTTCTTCCTCAGCCGTGCACGACCTGACCATAAGAGAACTTCTGCCCACGACTGAGCAGTACCTGACCTATGACGGGTCCCTCACCGTCCCCGCCTGCTATGAGACTGTCACCTGGATTCTACCCAATAAGCCCCTGTATATTGCCTTCAGCCAGGTATGTGCTGCGTTTAATTAAGATGTGTTGTGTTTGGGTGATTACCTGAGTGTTGCTGCAGGAGTTGTGTGTGTGTGTGTGTGTGTGTGTGTGTGTGTGTGTGTGTGTGTGTGTGTGTGTGTGTGTGTGTGTGTGGGGTTGCTATTTGTGTTTGCAGAATCGAGCTGTTCGAGCTATTAGCTCCCCGCGTTTCTAACCAATGTATTTTTCTTCTGTTATATCTACTACATATATTTCTCACTAACCCACACACGAGTGTGTGTGTGTGTGTGTGTGTGTGTGTGTGTGTGTGTGTGTGTGTGTGTGTGTGTGTGTGTGTGTGTGTGTGTGTGTGTGTGATTATCTTTACTTGTCTTGCTTCATTGTTTAAAATCTAGTTTGGTGATGCTATGCTCATTCAATAGTATGGAATATATCTAGATAATAAAAATAATTTAAATATCCATATCTCAGGATCAAAACAAGTTTTTTTTAGTAAATTCATTATACCCCTCAAAAAACTCTGAGTTTGCCATATATATAATTGTTATTTGTTTAAGGTTAAGGATATATTCGTATACTTTATTTTGGGGGGTTTGTATTTTGCATTTTTTCCTGCACTCGTGAACGACATCGTAATCGAAGAGGCAGTTTCCCAGAGTGGAAAGATTAAATTCACGGTCCTCACACACTGCGGCCATCAGCGACGAGGGCCGTGAATGGCGTCTGAGCTCGTTTGCGACGGCAAAGGCAACGGGGAGTCGTAGCGTGATTGGAAACCTCAGTGTGTCAGGCTTATTGCAAGCTCACATTGCCTCGACAATGTTTGGAGGGAGGTGTTGGCGGGGGGGAAGGGGGAGGGAGGGATATTGGTGAGGGGTTGAGAGGGATTTGGGAGGGGGGGAGGGGTTTGGGGAGGGAAATGGGGTGTGGTGTAGGTGCTGGTAGGAGAAGTGTGATGCAGTCAGTGTATGTAGAAAGGAGTTTGTGGCTCTGGAGATAAGTCGTGGGTACTCACCTAGTTATATTCACCTAGTTGTGCTTGCGGGGGTTGAGCTCTGACTCTTTGGTCCCGTCTCTCAACTGTCAAACATCTGGTGTACAGATTACTGAGCCGACCAGACCACACACTAGAAGTTGAAGGAACGACGACGTTTCGGAGCGTCCTGGACCATTCTCAAGTCGATTCTCATCGACTTGAGAATGGTCCAGGACGGACCAAAACGTCGTCGTCCCTTCAACTTCTAGTGTGTGGTCTGGTCAACATACTTCAGCCACGTTATTGTGACTCATCGCCTGCATTCCTGAGCCTACTGGGCTCTATCATATCTATACTTAAAACTGTGTATGGAGTCTGCCTCCACTACATCACTTACTAATGCATTCCATTTATTAACAACTCTGACACTAGAGGAATTCTTTCTAATTTCTTTATGGCTCATTTGGGAACTCAGTTTCCACCTGTGTCCTCTAGTGCGTGTGCCTCTTGTGTTAAATATACTGTTTTTGTATACCCTATCAATTCCTTTGAGAAGCTTGTATGTGGTGATCATATCCCCAGAACTCTCCTGTCTTCCAGCGACGTGAAGTTTAACTCCCTTAGTCTCTCCTCGTAGTTCATGCCTCTCAGTTCGGGTACTAGTCTGGTGGTACCATCTTCTTATGTTTGGTTTGGTTATCATTTCTTCAGCCACGTTATTGGGACTTATCGTCTGCATAGTGTTAGAATTATGTAGAATTACCTCTTAATTTTTTTCTCCCTTCGATTTTTGCAGTTTTCTTTCCATTATGGGGTAGATACCTTCTATTATCATGTCTCCCAAACCTAACACTTATGGAATTCAATTTTAGCAACAACCTGTTTTTTTCCCCCACTCCTGCTGTTAATCGAAGCCTTCATGTATCTCCCTGCCTTTCTCCTTGGTATTATCATGCCTGTTTAGCTTTGCGTCGCCTGCAAACAGATACACGTTCTCATTCCCTTGGATAGGTCTTTCATGTCAATTAAAACTGCAGTGTTCCCAGGACCGAACCTTGCGGAACTTCACTTGATACATTCTTCCAGCTTGAAACCCTCGTTTCTGACCATAAATCTTTGTTTAATGTGCTGCAGGTTGTCCCTTACCCAATTCAGTGTCTTCCCAGTTATTCCAGCCTGCTTTTCTATATTGTATAACAATCTTTCATGGGGAACTGTATACAAGACTGTTTGACAGTCGAGGAATATGCAGACTACCCAGCGCTCTTTTTACCGTCTTGTTCTTCTCCTGCAGTCTAAGACGCTTGGATGGATTGATTTACCCACAATATGTATCCTGTGGTATAGTGGTCTACGTTCTCGACTGACAATCGATGATACCGGGTTTGATTCTTCGGCATAACAGTAACTTTTTTTTCCACCTGATACCTCTATTCATCTGGCAATAAATAGATACCCAGTAGTCAGGTAATTGTCGTGGGTTCCATAACTATGAAGGTCAAAGAGGACCTTAATAATCGCAAGTCCCTGATAACAAGAGTTATACCAAGGTCAGTGCTCAAGATCCACTTATGATAACGATTATAAGGATATTATAATAACCGATTATAATAACAATTTCCTTGTCTGTAGGGTAATAGCCTATAACAAAGTTATTATTGGATTAGCAAGGTTTCTAATCAGCTCTTCTAATCAGCTCTTCCTCACCCACAACAGATGCGAAGTCTAAGGCGGCTCAGACAAGGGTCTTCCGACTTCCGCAGAAACGCGCCCGTCGCCAACAATTTCCGACCACTGCAGTCGGCACATCACCGCACCGTCCGAACCAATATTGACTTCTCCTCTGATAGCCAGGTTAGTTTGGGACGTGAAAACACGGGCTATCTGGGCTGCTGCGTGGTGAGTGACTCTACACAGGGAGTGAGGAGAGAATATGCTCTGAGGTGGTTGGGTGGTGAATGCATGTTTTGTTCTCACATCTTGCATGTGAGGGAATGGAATGTAGGAGAATGACATTTCGGGAGAGGAGGTGATGTTTTAGATGTTTAGATGATGATGTGATGTTTGCAGACTTGGTTAGCAGAGTGTCCCCTCGTGTGTGGAGGAAAGGTCTGATTAAGGGAAATACAGATTTGAGGTGTGTATGTGATATGTGTGGGTGTTGAGTGATGGGGCGGGTGTTGAGTAATGGGGCGGGTGTTGAGTGATGGGACTCAGGTGATGAGTGTGGGCGTAGCAAGATGGGTGTGGGATGTGGGCGTGTTAGGTCTGACTATGGGCGTTCAGTAATCTGAGACCTTGTTTACTGATCTGATGACCCATGAAAGAGAGCTGGCAAGTGAACAACATCATTTGAAGTTGAACTCTGAATGAACAATAGACGTAGACAGTGGCACAAGTTTCTTGTGCTTTTAACCGTGGAAGTGTAAATAGACTGAGGTAGATGTAAACAAAAAATCCGGGTAGATTTTTTAGGCATAGTTAGACATTTGTAGATAAATGTGTGGCGTCAGGTGTTAGTATGCTACGGAAGGTGTAGTGCTGGTGTTAGCAATTTATGGTAGGCAGTGTTAGGTGTAACTATACATGTAGTTATATGTATACATATCAGATGTACATATAACATGTATATAACATATGTGTAGTTATATGTTAAATACATGTGAGGCGTTGGCAAACAGATATGACGGGAGACAATTCCGTAAGAAAATGACGGGTTTGTCATACTGTAAGGCAGTGACGGGATACCGTACTATAAAGACAGTGGCGAGTGTGACTGGACCACGTGACAGTAATGGCCTACAATCCCAGTCAATACCCTGTCCCAGTCACAAATTTCCAGGCAGCCGAGTGACTACTGTCACTCCAAATTAACCAAAGCGGCCTGGCTTGGGATTCGAGGAATTTGACAGAGAGAAACGTAAAGGGTATATCTGAGTAAACTAGCATGGTGATTGGTAAATTCGCGAGGTATATCCGAGATTCCTTCACACTCAGGTATACGTAAACACTATTGCATGGCATTGCATGGGTGACAGCGAGGGTCTGTGGCATATCTTCAGTGGATTAATCCTCGACAGTGGTTGTGTATGATGCCAAAAAGTACCTAAAATGCTCCGAAACAGTCTGGGTTTATTGAAAGGGTTTATAATCAAATATAATAATAATTCGTTACACACAGACACACACACACACACACACACACACACACACACACACACACACACACACACACACAAACAATGGAAGGACTAGGCACGTTAGATTCTCTACTTATGCAGAGTTCAGGCCTTTATTTATTACTTTATTATAATGATAAAACCCGATGTGGACCGCATTAAATTTGAGGAAGTCTGTAGGTATTGGCGGATAAATATCTATATTGCCCTGTATATATAGCATTACATGGAGCCCACATGTGGTAAAACACATAAGGGGAATTGAGTATTTCCAAAGATATGTTAAGAATAATTTCATATCAAAGAATAAGAATAAGAATAATCTTTTCTTCCTAGGAATAAGAGGGACGAGCTTTAAGAACCAGAGGTCATATGATGAAAATGTAATAAAATAAAGAAATAGCAAAGAAAAGATAAAGGGAATTGATTCAGACTTCTCCAAAGGAAGGTTATCTTGAGGTTATCTTGAGATGATTTCGGGGCTTTTTTAGTGTCCCCGCGGCCCGGTCCTAGACCAGGCCTCCACCCCCAGGAAGCAGCCCGTGACAGCTGACTAACACCCAGGTACCTAATTTACTGCTAGGTAACAGGGGCATAGGGTGAAAGAAACTCTGCCCATTGTTTCTCGCCGGCGCCTGGGATCGAACCCAGGACCACAGGATCACAAGTCCCGCGTGCTGTCCTCTCGGCCGACCGGCTCCCCAAGGTAGACTCCTCCCGAAGGTAGACAGAACTAAGAAACACAAATGAGTCAGAGAGACATAAGTAAATACCAATATACTTTATGAGTGCTAAAGAAGGGAAGCAAACTTGAGCCTGAAACTGAGAAGCAAACTCCACTCACGGCTTTAGGAGAAAATATGAACGAATTAGAAAGACGAACGGTATAAATGCACCAGACGAAGTTAAAGGGCGAGGACCTAGAGCTTGAGCTCACAAAATATAAGCACAACTAGGTATCACAGACACACATATGAACTCACATAATTAAAAAGGCCAGAATTTTGACCATAGAATTATACTTATTATCCACAACACTTCAGTTATAGAAAGGTGGTTCCTTAATAATTGTGACAGGAATATAGTGTTAAAATGTGAGTAAATTAAATATTGCTTCTCTTTCCAGGGGAAAAAGTGTTCAGTGTCAGAACCGAAATTCCACTATCGAGGTAAGTTAAATGGGTCATATTTTATTCCAATCTCCAACATTAAAGAAAGTAGCCAAGCTTTCATTTCTCGTGTTGTTCGAGAAAATGCTTCATTAGTTGCGATTTTATGAAATTTCCTATAAAATACATGTGTGTGTGTGCGTGTGTGCGTGTGTGTGCGTGCGTGCGTGCGTGTGTGAGTATGTGTGTGTGTGTTGAAGTCCCCATCAATCATATATATATATATATATATATATATATATATATATATATATATATATATTCATTTTCTCTTACCATCCCTATTTCCTTTCACTTTTTTGTTTGCTATATTTAACATTAAAAGATTACAGAGAGAGGTCAAAGGTCGTGAATCACTTCGAGACGCTGCTCACAGCCTGAACAAGGGCCGTGGATGCAGCAGCCATTTATTCTCTGGACCTACAGACTTTGACATTGAAACAGGTGAAACAGGAAACTGTTGTCTCTTGGGGGTCTGTAGTAATATAATTGATCTTGCATCCTATACTTCGAGAAATGCTTGCCCCAGAGGATCAGAGAAACTCGTCGCTGTCTTTGAAGGCTTTCCTCTGACAGAACCACCGGCCGGATCAACTATGATCCGGCTATGTCTCTTATTGAGACATAGGTATCAGATACGCATATGTAATCCCACACAGCTGCCTGTCCTTTATCTGGGGATAACATTGTAAACCCTGATGAGCACAGAAGGGCTGTCAGGATTTAGGGTCTGAAGAAACCGTTGGTTCTCTTTCTGCTGTGCACTAGGTAGTGACCGGGCTCCTCTTGATCGGGTCTCAAACTTAAGTGTCACATGCATGTCTTACTTTGAAGCTTATACTTTGCAAACCATGCAATCCATATATGTTGGCTTCAATCTTGCTGCAAATGCACTTGTACTCAATGTGAATTGTGACACTAGAGCAGAGTGGTGCTTTATCTAAACAAAATATGACATATGGAAAAATCCTGTTCTAATTAAACGAAGATGCAAGAACACTAGTCAGAGGGACAGAAGCCCTAAACAAGAACATAATCAGAAAATAGTCTGCCTGTTGGAGATAATGGTTTTGCTAAAAATGAGCTTTGCACGGCTGTGAAGTGGGCAGTTCCTGTTGTGATATTGCAACACGGAGCAAGGGCTCTGATGTTTTGTACTTTATTGAGCAGTACCAGCTGTACTCTGTGTGTTTTATTGTCGGATCTTCACTGGGTGGCCGGGGATGCAAGAGCATCCCACTGATTGAAGCGTAATTTTTTAGTACAATTTATTTACAAGATAATTGGAATAAGAGGAGGAATGGAAAACTGAAAATGCAACTTGGGACTCTGCACCGACATAAAGCCACCCAATCTGGCGAGAGGCATAGCTTTTGTCACTTCGTGTCATCAAAGGGAAAGTCGAGGACTTTTTCCAGCATTGACTTCATTGCAAGGCTAACGTTGCACAATGTTTACATCTTCACGCGAGGAAGTTTCATATTCCCCGGAGAAAAGCTTCGACTTAACGCTGTAACATGATCGGGTTAATGGATAAAGGAAATATATATTTCAACGAAATGCTTGCAGCACAACATCTCCTCCGACCTGATTGATGACATTTTTACACCATACTTAGCTATTACCTCCTGATCTTTGAAGTGGTCAATGCACGTCCACGATCGCGCTGTATGTCCCTTGACTTCACCGCCTATGGGGATCCCATGTGAAAGCACGGTGGCCGCTAACTGCGCGACTAATCTCACTGCAACTCTAGTTACAAAGCGCAAGAAACTGTAACCAGCATCAATGGGCCTGATTCCTCAATCCATATTTTTTCCAGAGTACACGAGTCTTGTTCAAAACAAAGCGAACCCTGATGATTATCAAGGCAGTGGGAACCCACGCACCGTTTAATGAATCTTGGGATCAATCAGAAGACTCTGTACGACATCGAATGTCTCTTGTCGTGGCGGGTTAGAATCTTTCTGGTGGTCTTAGCTCTGCCTAGGTATGATGTTGTATTTAATGGAGCAATATTTTTGTATTGTTTGGGGCTATGAAAGTGATGTTGTCTTATCTGTGTGTACTCACCTAGTTGTGTGTGCGGGGTTGAGCACTGGGTCTTTGGTCCTGACTCTCTATCGTCAATTAACTGATGTACTGATTTCTGAGCCTACTGGGCTCTATCATATCTACCTTTAAAACTGTGTATGGAGTCAGCCTCCACCACTGGAGACAAATGTGTGTGTGTGTGTGTGTGTGTGTGTGTGTGTGTGTGTGTGTGTGTGTGTGTGTGTGTGTGTGTGTGTGTGTGTAATTACCTAAGTGTAGTTACAGGATGAGAGCTACGCTCGTGGTGTCCCGTCTTCCCAAGACTCTTTGTCATATAACGCTTTGAAACTACTGACGGCCTAGGCCTCCACCACCTTCTCACCTAACTTGTTCCAACCGTGTGTGTGTGTGTGTGTTGATATTTTGTGTTATTCTTGCAATATACAACTTCGTTTGACTTAATTAATATGTTCTAATAAATGCCTTTAAATTTTTTTGCAGCAAACGACTGGCTTCACTCCTGACCAGGATTGTGGCAAGATAAATGTACATACACCACAAGCAACATAATGGATGTTTGTTTATAATGTAAATAGCTTTTCGGCATTTGGTACATATTTTACTTGGATGTTGAGCTCATCCATTCGTTGACTTGGATATGTGGATATTTCCTCCGGAAATAATGTTGTAATGAACATGTGTTCAAGAAGCAAGACATGTTAGACAGTAATTAACCTTGGAAGAAATGTTGAAAAATGTTTGATGTTATTCTCTAATTTCTAAGAAGATTTAACCAAACTTTTTTTAACTCTCTCTCTCTCTCTCTCTATATATATATATATATATATATATATATATATATATATATATATATATATATATATATATATATATATATATATATATATATATATACACTCATAAAATACACATTTTTGTTTTCGGCCAATAAATAAAAAACAATTATTGTCTTTTAAATTAAAATTAATGACAGATAGTTTTTAATAAACTGTACCAGATGCAGCAATTGTATTATATAATTCATGAACGAAATATACATTTTTTATATATAATTTTACTTTGTTTTAGTATGTTGATTTTTGGTAGAGAAAGAGGAGGAAGGATTTCACTTACACACACACACACACACACACACACACACACACACACACACACACACACACACACACACACACACACACACACACACACGTTCTCATGTGTATACACCTGCAGACGTACGTACACATACGCACACACACACACACACACACACACACACACACACACACACACACACACACACACACACACACACACACACACACACACACATTGGGGGCCTCCAGGCTGAGTGTACAGCCCCCTAGGGTCGTAGTCCCAAGGGCCCGAATCGATCCTTGGCAGAGGCTGAAACAAATGGGCAGATTTTATTTCACTCTGATGATCTGTTCACTTAAATAAAAATTATGAAAAATTCCAAATTGTACCAATTATATAGATCATTCGCAAGTTAAGCTATATTTTAACGATTTAACAGCAAAAATCTAACAATTACATTCTTAGTTTTAAAACTTCTCATGAATGAATTATTTTTTCATATATAAAAATTAAAAAAATTACAAACATACAAAGTAAACATTGATTACCTGATGAATTTTCTATGTTCAACTGCACTATTGTTGAACATAGAACAAAAATAGCAGAGCGAAAATATCTATCCTATGGAAAGTAGTATTGTTATTCACTAATATACTTGTATAATTAATACCGTGAGCTTCACTGAAATGTATAAAAGTTATATTATATTATTGATTTTAAACTGTAAATTAGAGTCTTCCTTTATTTAAAGTTATTTTTATCAAAAGTTATTCTAAATCATTCTTGTTGTTCAATTTCGTTGCCATATTTGCTTTCATTTACTTAAAAATAACTTAAGGCCAAATTTATATTTATGAAACCACATGTTTATTTATTACAGCTTAAAAAATAAAATTTTTGAAAACTATTTTCGTGACCAAAAATTAACACAATATATCTACATGTTCAGTTTAGCAAAACATAATCAAATACTCCTTAATTTCATTGGACGTCTCTTTGATTCTCACTTTAATAATGTGAGTAATATAGGAAAACTTATACTTTCTTCAATGTAACTTTCTCCCATAAATGTAAAATATTGTAAAAAATATTTTTTGGGGAGAATCCTAAAAAAAAAAGGTACATGTAAATACGTTTCAGTTTTCTGAGATGAACGCGACATCTCTCCTCAACTCGTCAGCAAGTGATATTGCCATAGAATATCTCATTTAATAAACAAGTATAAGTGTTATCATGTTTAGTTTCATCGTGTAATGTTTATTAAGTGTTTGTTAATGATGCTGAACTTTCTCTGCAGCATGACTATGCTGTTCAAGGCGGGAAAACAAATAATAAAACAGTGCATAGCTTGAGATTTTCGGCTGAGTGGAGGAGCAATCTTGCATTTAGGGAAGATACACACACACAGAAATCCCACTAATGGGATTATTATCAATGAGGAAATCCCCCAGCGGTGGTCCAGTGGTAGAATACGCGACTTGGCATTGCTGGGGTCGTAGGTTCGGACCCACATCACAGCCCTGGAGGATTGTCTCATTTAAGGAAGATCATTGACCTAAATCATATCATGTAACTTGTAGGAAAAAAAACTGCTTTGTTTATAAAGTGACATAAGGTTCAACTCCGGTTGAATTATTGAAGATTTTTTCAATATGAATAGACAATAATTTGTATTTGATTAATTAGAATTTAATTTGATAATTATGATATAATTTAACAAACTTATATATATATATATATATATATATATATATATATATATATATATATATATATATATATATATATATATATATAGGAAGGGAGTACCACCTCTAGCTGGAAGAAGGGGGACCCCATAGCCTCGGAGGGATATATATATATATATATATATATATATATATATATATATATATATATATATATATATATATATATATATATATATATATTACAAAAGACCACAGAGCAAAAAGTTTCTTGTTCCAGCGCCTCAGTGTTGCGATTCAGAGGGGAAATGCCTGTTGCGTCTTGGGCACTAGTCCAACTTCAGAGGAATTCGAAGAAGTGTTTGACTTGCAACAATGATCGAACCCGTCTGTGACATTCATCAATGTTTCCCATTGTTGTGTTTTTCAAGAGATCCATAACCTTTAAGCACCTTTTTGCATTATTATTTTTGTATCAACCCATGTATATCTTGTAACCATCAAATGCATAATAAAGCACAAAAAATATTTAAGGAAGGGGGTGGTAGGAGAAAAGCACACAGAAACTGTATTGGAGGGGATCTAAACATTCCCTCTAATGCGTTATGCGTGGTTTCCTCCGAGGCTATGGGTCCCCCTTCTTCCAGCTAGAGGTGGTACTCTTTTAAATATATATATATATATATATATATATATATATATATATATATATATATATATATATATATATATAACTGAAAACTCACACCCAGAAGTGACTCGAACCCATACTCCCACAACTGGTATGTACAGGGACGCCTTAATCCGCTTGACCATCACGACCGGACATAAGGAAGTGATAGCCGAGGCTATATGAACCACTTCCCCGCCGGCACTCGGATGGTAATCTTGGGCATAGCATTTATCAAATCACCTCATTCTTTGGGGCACACGTGAGGAACACAAATGCAAACAAGCCTGAATGGTCCCCAGGACTATATACAACTGAAAACTCACACCCCAGAAGTGACTCGAACCCATACTCCCACAACTGGTATGTACAGGGACGCCTTAATCCGCTTGACCATCACGACCGGACATAAGGAAGTGATAGCCGAGGCTATATGAACCACTTCCCCGCCGGCACTCGGATGGTAATCTTGGGCATAGCATTTTATCAAATCACCTCATTCTTTGGGGCACACGTGAGGAACACAAATGCAAACAAGCCTGAATGGTCCCCAGGACTATATACAACTGAAAACTCACACCCCAGAAGTGACTCGAACCCATACTCCCACAACTGGTATGTACAGGGACGCCTTAATCCGCTTGACCATCACGACCGGACATAAGGAAGTGATAGCCGAGGCTATATGAACCACTTCCCCGCCGGCACTCGGATGGTAATCTTGGGCATAGCATTTTATCAAATCACCTCATTCTTTGGGGCACACGTGAGGAACACAAATGCAAACAAGCCTGAATGGTCCCCAGGACTATATACAACTGAAAACTCACACCCCAGAAGTGACTCGAACCCATACTCCCACAACTGGTATGTACAGGGACGCCTTAATCCGCTTGACCATCACGACCGGACATAAGGAAGTGATAGCCGAGGCTATATGAACCACTTCCCCGCCGGCACTCGGATGGTAATCTTGGGCATAGCATTTTATCAAATCACCTCATTCTTTGGGGCACACGTGAGGAACACAAATGCAAACAAGGCGTCCGGATTAAGGCGTCCCTGTACATACCAGTTGTGGGAGTATGGGTTCGAGTCACTTCTGGGGTGTGAGTTTTCAGTTGTATATAGTCCTGGGGACCATTCAGGCTTGTTTGCATATATATATATATATATATATGTTGTACCTAGTAGCCAGAACACAGTTCTTGGCCTACTATGCAAGGCCCGATTTGCGTAATAAGCCAAGTTTTCAAGAATTTCAATATTTTTCTCATTTTTTTTTCTTATGAAATGATAAAGCTATTCATTTGGTTAAGTATGAGCTCATTTTTTAAAATTTTAGTTAAAACTAACATAGATATATGACCGAACCTAACGAACCCTACCTAACCTAACCTAACCTATCTTAACCTAACCTAAACTAATATAACTAAATCAATAATTTATGTTCTTAATATAATATAATCATAATATTTAACATAAACCAATTGGAAACAATTTATTGAAAATAAAGAAAATCACTTGGCCTATTAGGAAAGTCTGGCCTTGCATAGTAGGCCGAGAAGTGCGTTCTGGCTACTAGGTACGATATATATATATATATATATATATATATATATATATATATATATATATATATATATATATATATATATATATATATATATATACCACCTCTGGTGCAAGTGTAGGGACCCATAGCCTCGGAGAAGAAAATAAAGAGTACTCAGAGAAGACCTTGTGGATCCTCACTGAACACTTATTTATTTATTTAATATCAGATAATATGCGTTACAATAATTTTGATTTACAAAACAAATTGATAGTTAAAGATAAAATTGTATTCTAGAATTTTGTTTTCTCATTCCTATTACGTTAAACGCATGTATGGTATTATACATACACATACGATAATCGACATTATGTATATACCATCAAAGTTATACCCAATAAATCATATATACTCAACAGCAAGCACTCTCCCACTCGGCCGATGAGCACTCTAATTTAACATTAACATCTCTCCCCCTCCCCTCGGCTTATCATGTAATATATGTATGTCCAATTTTTATAGAATAATTTTAATGTGTAGAATTGTCAAGACATTCACATGTTGGCAGATACACCTAGCATATCAGACGACATATCGAAATAGCTTGCGAAAATTGAGTCGTTTTTAAAAGGCATCTAGATAGGAACAGTAAAAACTTGAATATTTTATTCATGGGAATTGAACAAGCATTAAACTAAGTCAATTTGTGCATATTTAGGTTTGCAAATAATGTGTTTGGTAGAAATATGAATAAACATTAATAAAATATCTGTTTTCCTCTCCTAAATTAGTTTATATTTTTATTTTGTCCTTAATTTGTTGATG